CCTTTTTACTTTCTGTAGAAACATTTAGATTTGATATTACCTTGTCAAGTGATTTTTAACACCCTGAGTTGGAGCAGTAAATAATACTAACTTTTTTTTTTTTTTGCTATAGGGTGTGTGTTCTCGCCAGAGAGAGAGTGAGATACAGAAAGCGAGAAATCACCCCCCCAGAGGGGATGGCCACACTGCAATCCCTTCTCCATTCTCCTCTCAGAATCTTGGGCATACATGCACACGTGCCTAGTGTGAGTTTTAAGCCGCTAGGTCCAGGACTCAAATCACTGTCGACTACATGGGAGTCCAGTAACGTAACCATTACAACATCTGCTGTTCTCCAATAATAATAACTTCTGATCAGTGGTTTATCTCCAATAAAGTTATTATTATAACTTCTGATCAGTGGTTTTATGGTTTCCACAGAATAGATTCTGTATTAAAAAAGGAACTTAAAATTGAAAGAGCAAACTATGTATGAATTCAAGAACCTGAATTCTAACTTTACTATTTTGCTAGCTCTGAAATCCTGAATAAATCTTTAAACCTTCTGAGCCTTAGAGTTCTTACCTTGAAAATAAAAAGTGTTATCTCCTCCAGGGTATCTTTTATGTCCGATATTCTATTTATCTAAAAAGGTCAGCTACTATTTGGAATCAAGAAGAATAAAAAAAAGTTTTCATTATAAAAACGAAAGGTCTAGGGGACCAGCAGCTAGCGTAATGGCTATGTCGCTGGACTCCCACGTAGTTGACCACGGTTCGCGTCCCGGACCCGGTGACTTAAAACTCATGCCGGGTGCATGTGCATGCGTCCCCAAGATCCCGAGAGGAGGATGGAGGAGAAGAGATTGTGGCATGGCCATCCCCTCTGGGGGGTGATTTTTCACTTTCTGTCTCTCTCTTTCTGTCTGGCGAGTGCACGCGCCCTATAGCAAAAACCTCTCAAAAAAATAAATAAAAAGGTCGAAAGGTCTAATAGTTCACAACTTGGCCAAACGCTGAATAACGTTAAGATTTTCAGTTTCTTATGTCAAATAGTCTTAACAATAAAGAGATAAATAAAAAGTATCTCTTCATCACCCCCTTCCAACCAGCTCTTTTACCCCTTCAATATAACTTTGCATGGCGCCCTGTCCATTCCTTATATAACACTCTTGCAGAACTCTCTGCCCAGTTAATGTTTCCCCATTGAAGCCTGTTTTTTTCCTTCAAATATTGCAATGCAACATATGTACAGAGATTAAAATCATAATTGTATAGAGCTTGATGGATTTTTATAAAGTAAACTTACCCATTAAATAACTACTCAGATAAATAAAAACTATTTTTCATGCTGTTTTTGGCTATCTTTCTTAAAATCGTGGAGAAAATTTCACTTGCATGTTGCGTTTTTTCAGATGGAATGTTTTATTTCAAATATATGATAATCTTTCATTTTCATTGAAAAACTGATAATTTGTTGAATACTAAGTTTTAAAGTCTCTTTCCTATATCTTGAAGTAGTTATTTTAAATGCTAGTGCTGCATAGTTGATTCATGTTTCAGTATCAATCCATTCTGCACACGTTTCTCATGTAACTAGTATATTAGGGTTACTGGGCGTTCAGAGAGAAGGCAGGTATTCATGTAGCTCCAAGCTTAGGTGAGTGTGAAGAAAGTGAAGGAATATAGATAAAACAAGAAACCATGGAATAGCAAGTACACATTTACTTTTTTCATGCTAGAAGTAGCCTTCAGTTATTTCCTCATGTGAATAATTTAGGAGATAGACAAGATGACATTAACTGGGCTGTCAAATCAGTTCAAAATAGGTAGAAAACTGGCAAACGATTGAAATCTTCCCAGTGACTTGGATTGTTTTTATTTTCCTGGTGTAATTTTTGTTTTTATTATTGAAAAAAGGAAATTGAGACTTGACTATTAACTCATTTACTGTTATGTAGAAATTTCTCTTACAAAGGGATGGTGACTGGAAATTTTATATGTCTGCTTCTTTGTGTTTGAAAAGATTGTGATTTTTCCTCCTTGTTTTGTTTTAGTCTATATTTAATGTCCTTTTTTGCTCTTCCTCTTTAGACATTAATTGCAAATGATCTGTGTAAGAGTCAGAGTCCTAGGTACTAACTAGGACTATAGAAAACTTGAGTTTTGAGACAAGCAGTGATGTAATGGTTACATCACTGACTTTCACACAGTTGACCTCACTTTGAGTTCCAGATCTGGGGCTTAAAACTCAGCCAGATGCATTTGTGTGTGTTTCCAAAATCCCCAGAGGAGACTGGAGGAGGAGGGATCATGGCATGGCCATCCCCCTGGGGACTGATTTCTTCCTTTCTTTCTCTCTGTCTCTCCAGTGAGCACACACACCTATAGCAAAAATCTCTCAAAAAAGGAAACTTGAGTTTTTCCTTATGATATGGAAAGCAAGTAATGACTACTCCCAGTGTATTATACATTATCTTACGGAGCTAAGAACCAGATACTGTGAGAAAATAGAGCATGCATGTCTAACTCAGAGTTGGGGCAAAGAGTCTTCCTATAGAGGTTGACGCTAAGCTCAAGACAGGGAAGAATGGAGAAAGGAATACAAAATGGTCTTTTCTGGGACCAGCAGATGGCATAATGGTTAAATTGCTGGGCTCCCACATAGTTGACTGCAGTTTGAGTCCTAGACCTGGTCGCTTAAACCTCACACCAGTGTGTGTGCATGTGTGCCCAAGATCCTGAGAGGGGAATGGAGAAGGGATTGTGGCATGGCCATGACTCCTGGCGAGTGATTCTCACTTTTTGTCTTTGTCTCTCTGTTAAGCACACATGTCCTATAGCAAAAATATCTCTCTCAATAAAAGGATCCTTTCTCTACTCTTTAGTCTTAACCACAGAGTTCTACACAGTCATGGAGTTGATTTATTAGTATTTTTAGGGAAGATGCTACTTTTCCTCTTTGCCAATGCTGTGCTTTACTTTAGTTGCTAATAATAATTGAAGTAGATTTTTTTAAAAATATGAAAGTAATAGTTTTATTAAAGGAGGTATTTTTAGTTGAAAAGCCCCAAAGAAAGTGTTGTAGTTTGTATCCCAACACTGAAGGGATACACTTGCTTATACTTGCTCATATTCTGTTTATGTTTAAAGAATATTTATATATACATGTGCATACACACATGCATATACACACACATATATATGTAGTTCATATAAATTTTCCCTTGAAATTGCTCTCTGGACCAGGAGTTTCTACCTGACATATTTCAGGTTCAGATGTTGATGTCTTCTCTAGATCTTTAAACGCTTAGATCTCCCATCCACCCTCACAAAAAGCTCTGTTTTTCTGGGCATTCAGGTCATGTGGATACCTCACCTTACCAACTTCCTCAGTAGCGGCCCTCTGAGACACTCCTTTTTTATTTAGTGGAAGTCTTGCTTTACAGTTAGTCTTCCCTGGGCTCTTCTGTGATTCAGTGTGAACCTTGGCCTTGAAGTGTATTGATCTTCTCATCTTGTGATTGCCTCTTCTCCACTTTAACACTCAGTCTCATAGCCCACATTCTGTTTGTTGTCACGCAGAACTGATTTACGTATGAAGATATCAATCGAGTTTGAGCCACTGAAAGTACTACTTTTCTGTATTTCTGTGTTTTTCGTAATCTTCTTTCAACTTGTTTTTATCCATATATTGTTTTTCCATAATTACATCTCTCAGGCTCCCCTTCGATAGAAATTTGGGTTACATTTCAACATTATATTTAATAGTTTAAAGATTAAAACTATGTCTTACTCATCTTTGTATCTTCAGTGCTTAGCCCAGGACCAGTCACATAGAAATAATTCAGTCAGTATTTATAGAGTGAATGGGACCACATTTGGTTAGATGGGTACTTAAGAAAGAATGACTTAGGACAGGATTTATACAGCATGCGAGGTTCTGGGGGCAGAGCTGATGGTTAGTTGCAAGAGCTTTGAGTTCATAGGAGAAAAATAAGAATAGAGTTCATGTGACCTGCTTCCTCTCTCAGTTTCCATGTTCCTTCATTTCTTAATTAACTTATTAAAAAGGATTTATTTTATTCATACTACATGTCAGGGACTGTGTAAAGTTATGGAGGTCCAGTGGTGAGCAAGACAAAGTCCTTGCCCTTGGCGTGTTGACACTGTGGTGAGGTACATAGAAAACTAATTTGATGATACAGTGATATCCGTGATGTGAAGGAATCAAGTGTTCAGATCACATGCAGGTGTTCAGGCAGTGGGAACAGATAAGAGGAAGCATGATGTATTCAAACAACTTCAGATTTCCATTAGAGTTAGAGGGTAAAGTGTGAATAGAAGGAATGGGGAGAAATGAGGTTTGTAGTAAGCAAGACCAAATTGAGAAGGACCGTGTGAATCCACTTTAAGGTTTTTCACTTCCATCTCTCTTCCCATATCTCGGCAGTCCTAAATTACGTACTACCGGTGTACTAAGAGTGGAAAGGTAAATATAGACAGTGTTTCAAGAGCCACACAATTCCCTCTTTGCTGAATACCACAATTGGAACTGTGTGGTTAATCTCTTCAGTAACTGTTTTTTCATTGTAGTTGTTGCTATAGGAATATCAACATGGCTCTTTGGCTCTTGTTAACTCCTTAAGAACAGGAACTGTGTTTTAGTCGTTTCTATATCTTGAGCACCTAACAGTAACTCAGTAAATGTTGAAAAATGTCATTTAACATTGGTAATTTAGCATCAATAGTCATTTTATGTACTTATCTACTAACCAAAAGATAATTGTCATATTTTTGCCTTTGGGAAACAGGGTTTAGATTTTAAACAAATCAGTTCACAAAAGACTCTGAATTTATGATTACCTGTCTTTGAGTAGGGAAAAATTACTAAACAGAAAAAATAAGGATTTTTTTTTGTTCCTTAATTACAAGGACATTTATGGCTTTACAGAAGAATTTGATACAGAATTTAATCAATTATATTTAGTTGAAATGTTTTATTATTCTTTCTATTTCTAGACATATGAGGAAGAACGAAAAAACTACTCTGAGCTTCAAATCAGATGTCAGCGTTTGGCCTTAGAATTAGCGGACACAAAACAGTTAATTCAGCAAGGTGACTACCGGCAAGAGAACTATGATAAAGTCAAGAGGTAAATGGTTACTGTGGTGACATAATTGTCCTCATTTTTTAGCATGCATCCTAGTCCCCTGAATTCTTATCACCATTGTTAATTCTTTTACCGTATTCTTCACTGCACAAAAGTATGTAGTTTTGACAGCTTGTTGGATTTAGATTGTATTGTTGTATTGATTATTTTTATTTATTTGGAATTGTTGTCTTTTTAAATGTAAAAGAAGAAAGGAACTCAGTAAAATTCCACATGCATAAATATTTTTAAAATGTTATTGGATGATTGTCTTACATAATGGAATAATTTTAAATATGTCACAGTTTTCCTAAGTTTTTTTCAACTGTTCTTTTTTGAAAAAGGTTATATTCTTTCAAGAAAGTTTTAAATACATATATACTATTTATTATATAAATGGAATTGGCCTAAATTTAAACATTTTGCACCTAAAGTAATTCTTGAAATACAGTAATCGGTCAGTGAATATTTAAGTGAATGAGTGAATATTTTAAATCATATAATTTAATAATACCATAAGTGAATTTGCAAAGATTTAGGCATATAACATTGGCACTTCTGCTCTCACCAAGACTGACACAGAGTGTATATTATTATGTATATCTACATATTAAATATGCCAAAATATCATCATTATTGGAGCTTGAAATCGCTAAAATCTATACATAGATTTACATACATATCGAACTTTTGAATAAAGCTGAATTTTAAAAGAAGCTTTGAAAAGTGAAATAGTGATGGTAAGATGATACTTTGAGTTGGAATTTTGATGTCCCCTCTGCAGCTATAAATCTATAACAATGATAGAAAAATATAAATAAAAGGAAACTATTCTATAAAGCATAGTCATCAGAATAATCTAGCGAGGACATGAATGAGGGATAACTGAAACAAGATGAGTCATGAGTCAATAATTATTGAAGCTAATTCATCAGAGCACAGGTGTTCATTGTATCATCCTCATTTTTTTTTGTTTTTATTTTCTATTAGAAAACTTAGGGAATTAAAACATAGCCTTGCTCAAAAAGCATAATTAAACGTCTTTATTTGCTAGAAATGAAATAAATAAACAAGAGGGTCTCAAAATGTGAACCTTTAGGTGCGCTCAGAATAAGTGAGATAAGAAAAAAAATAGGTTACAAAAATATAAAGTAAACTAGGGAAGGGAAAAAAACCACTTTTATGCCCTTGACAATATCTCCCAAGTGTGTAAAAGGAAAACAGGTACATGGATGTGTAACTGCATCATTGCTGGAAAAAATTCAAATTTTTTTTAATAATACAAAGGCAAATCAATTGGGATTTATTTCTACAAGTTATTCCATATGGCAGTAAAAATAATTAAATTAGGACTGAGAGTATTACCTTTTTATTTTATTTATTTATTTTTTTAGTTAGAGGTTTTTGCTATAGGGCGCGTGCGCTCACCAGACAGACAGAGAGAGACAGAGAGACAGAAAGCAAGAAATCATCCCCTAGGGGGAATGGCCACACCACAATCCCTTCTCCTCCATTCTCCTCTCGGGATCTTGGACACGCACGCACACGTGCCTGGCGTGAGTTTTAAGCCACCGGGTCTGGGAAGCGAACCGCGGTCGACTACATGGAAGTCCAGCAACATAGCCATTATGCCAACTGCTGGTCCTCAGAACTTCCTTTCTATCATAAAATAATGTTCCCAGTTTTATTTCGTAATTTCATTGCCTCAACCTTTTCTCTAAGAAGTCCTGATTCCTTTTAATGGGGAACTAATTTGAAATTAAGATTGGGATGCTGTAGTCATTGCCTCATTGGTCATGTTTCTAATAAATAAGTAAAGAGTGTCTCTATACTAGAATGCCAACCAGTAAATGTATATGCATAGTAAAGTGAACATTTTTAGCTCTATAATAATATAGGACTCAAAATTGCCAATGAAACATAAAACTTAGGTAAAAGTATTTTAGGGAACATGATAGTTGTACAGTCTCAAAGTATCTTCCAGCCAATTGGTTACCAACTGTAAGGGACAAAAGGTACCTTTATACTTGAAAACCCTGGCAGATACTACCTTAATCGAGTAATCAAAGTTACTGTCACCAGTAATGGGTTAGATTGGTACCATGTGCTCCTTCATATTGAGGACACATTATCACTTCTGTGGTATTCCTGACCAAAGTGCTTAACCAGAATCTAGTCATGAGAAAGTACCAGAAGATGAAATTCGAAGGACATTCTATACAGTAGTTGGCTTCTGCTCTATAAAAATAAATGTCATAAAAGACAGGAAAAGCTAGGGAACTATTACCAGACCTCTGCATGTAACACATGGTGATGGATTAGTTCCTGGATCATGGCGAAAATTGCCATAGAAGACATTTTGCAGATAGTTGACAAAATTTGAAAATAGAATGTATATTAGATAATGGTGTTAAGTCTTGAATTTGACAATTATACTGTGATTATACAAGAGAATATCTCCCATTATGCACTGACTGAACTTTATAGGACTAAAAGACCTGATATCTGCATATGAATATTAAGTGCTTGAGGAAAAATGTATATGAATGATTGGATATGTGTAGAGGTATATACATATATACATGTGGGTGTGTGTGTATATATACACAAATATTCATTCACATATACGAACAAGAGGAAATTAATAAGGCAAAGTGATATTTAGTAAATATTTCAAAGTAAATAAAAGAACAGTAACAGTTGGTGTGTAAAAGTGTTTTTTTAGGTTCTTTTTTTTTTTTTCTGAGAGATTTTTGCTATATAGTTTGTACAGAGAGGGAAAGTGAGAAATCACCCCCCGGGGGATGGTCATGCTGCAGTCCCTTTCTTCTCAGGATTTTGGGCACACACAATGCCCAGTGTGAGTTTCCGGGTTCAGAACTTGAAATGCGATCAAGCATGTGGGAGTACAACATCTTTGCTAGCCACTATGACACCTGCTGGCCCCAAATTGGTGTGTGAAAGTATTTGTAAAAGCATATGTGGTAGTTTCCAGCAGGTGGTCTGGTGATTAAGGCACCAGATCAAACATGGCCAACTTCTTGCTTTGAATCCCAGACCCAGTGGTTTGAAAAATATGCTGGTTTTATGTGCATGCATGCTGGAAATCCCAAGAGGAGAATGGAGGAGAAGAGATAGCAGAAATCATCCTAGTGATTTCTCACCTTTCTCTCTCTGTCTCTCTCCAGTGAGTGTATTTACCCTATGACCAAAAAAATTAAAAAAAAAAAAAGAGAAAGAAAAAAATCCATAATAGTAAGGGTGAGCAGTGGTACAGCAGTAAAATGAGACACTCTGCAAGGCTAACTCACATGTGCAAGTTCTAGGTTCTTGTCCACAGACTTCTCTTAGTAGGCTAGGCATGCATGTGCCCATGATCCAGTGCAGGCTGGGACTGGAGATGGACTGCAGCATCAGACTACTGTCGGGTGTGCTCACATACTGTCTCCCTCTCTCCCTCTCTCATTCTCTCATGGAAGAAATAAATTTAATTGAAAAAAATTTAAATGAAAAAATAACGTATTATGAAAACGTCCTGAATTCATTATTCTATCTAGAGAGATAATAAAGGAACACTGAGGAAAATGTAGGAGACTTCAAGTTTACCTGTGGAGTTCTACCTTTTAAAAAGCAAAGCAAGGGACCAGCAGATGGCATAATGGTTATACTGCTGGACTCACACATAGTCAACCGTAATTCGAGTCCCAGACCCAGTGACTTCAAACTCATGCCGTGTGTGTGTGTGTGTGTGTGTGTGTGTGTGTGTGTGTGTGTGTATGTGTGTGTGTGTCTGTGTGTGCGCGCGCGCGCCCAAAATCCCGAGAGGAGAATGGAGGAGAAGGGATTGCAGGATGGCTCTCTTCCCTGAGGGGTGATTTCTTGCTTTTTTTCTCTATGTCTCTCTGGTGAGCGCACATGCCCTATAGCAAAAATATCTCAAAAAAAAAAAAGACAAAACAAAACTTGATGCAAATTAAGGCAAACGTTGTATAGAGTGTTTTGCTATACCATGCTTTATTATAATCTTTACATTAAAAATTATAGCAAAGAGTGCAGAATAAAATATTTCCATGTAAAAGCACAAAATACTTCTAGTAACATCTACTAAAATAGTAATACTGACAGCCATCTTTAGTTACTGGGTTAATGGGTGATCAAACACGTGCTTTTTTTTTTT